TGTTGGGTCTTTGTTTCTGTGTGAGGGCTTTCTCTAGTTGTGGCAAGTGGGGGCCACTCTTCATCGCAGTGCGCAGGCTTCTCACTATTGCGGCCTCTCTTGTTGCGGAGCACGGGCTGCAGACACGCAGGCTCAGTAGTTGTGGCTCACGGGCCTAGTTGCTCCGCGGCATATGGGATCCTCCCAGACCAGGGCTCGAACCCGTGTCCCCTGCATTAGCAGGCAGATTCTCAACCACTGTGCCACCAGGGAAGCCCTGGGGCAGTTTTAATAAGTTCTTTTGTCCAATGCCCAGCCAATTGGCCAACTTCTCTTTTCCTCGTTATCTCTTTCTGCTTCGGTGTTTGTTTGTTTAAGTGTTTATTTTCCTATTCCTCTACCCTGGATTTTTTTCCTCAGCTGTATCTGTTGTCCTTCCTCTACTACATTTTACTATGTTTCCATCTGTACATTGTGGAAGAGAAGATAATTAAACCTTTATATCCTAAATTAGAAAATTTCCTAAATCCTCCTTTTTCTCTCAGGATCAAAGATTGCCTTCAATTAACTTTGCCACCATGAACTTTTAGTGTGCTTGATGAGAGCATTATTGCTCGTTTGGGTGGGATAACTTTTCACTGTGGAATTGTCCCTGGCATTGCAGGATGGTTAACACCCCTGGCCTCAGTACCAAGTGCCAGTAACACATTTCCAGTCATTGAGACCACCAGAAATGCCTTCACACATTTATACACACCCCACAAAGTAGTGGTGGAGCCTCTGGTTTAGAACCACTGCTCACTAGGCAGTTGGAAGCATATCATCCCAGTACTGAACTTGGCTGCTCATTATCAACTGTTCTTTACAGTTTGATGGAGCAACTTAATTGCCAAAGTTTTTACGTCTAGAGAAAATCTAGCTATTTGAGCCATTAAAGCGGTGCCATTTACACTATACCCGTCACTTTTCACTTTTCAAAATTCAAGATGTTGGGATAACCAAGTTGTTTATTGGTAATATATATATATATATATATATATATATATATATAAAGTATCTTAGGGAAAATATTAGGCTTTCATAAAGTTATTGATTTATGAAATGAGTATGTGAAAATGAGTTGTAAGTTTCTCAAAGTGTATTCACTTTTATCGGGTTGGCCAAAAAGTTCGTTTGGGTTTTTCTATGTTATGGAAAACCTGAAAACAAACTTTTTGGCCCACCCAATCATTTAGAGGATTAAAGCATATCTCTTTCAAAGGTGATTTTTAAAATATAGTTCAAAGTGGACACACACTTTAGAATCTCTTATACTAATGATTTGTATATCTGCACATTGAGTATAATATTTTCGTTTATAATGTTATATAAGTAATTAAGTTATGAATTTCTTAATTCTTTTATGTTTCAGAGAAAGAGATTTGAAGAAAACTGGGCACAGGTTCAGCAAAGCCAAGAAGAGAAACAGAAAAAGAAACAAAAAGCAGAACAGTCATAGTAAAATCATGGAGGAAAACTCATTTGAAACCTTAAGTTATCTTATACCAGAAGATCAGGACCTATCTCAGAATGAAGAGGAAGACTTAGAAGAGACCAAAAGAGAATCAGAGTGTTCCTTAACAGGTGGTCTGAGAAATGAAGTAGGAGATTTTGTGAATGTCCATAAAGATGAGAGACAGGAAAACATAAATTTTGAAAACAGTTTGCCACATGTTATGTCTGTAGTTGAGTTGGACAATACACCAAAGAATTTCCTCCCCAAGGAAGATGATGACTTGTTTCTAAATTTGTCATTGATGCCAAATGAAAGCTCTGTTGCTTATTCAACAGTGACTCAAAATCTCCCGTATGTAGCAAATGATGACTGCCCTGGCACAAAGATAGAAAAGCATATAGAAAGTAGGGATATCATGGCATTACACATCCAAGACCGATTTGTTGAAACCCCGTGCTCATTTATGCAGAAGAAAGAGATGGTAGATAAGAGTCTCCTGAATGAAACAAGTCTGTACCATCAATATGGATCCAGAACTTCAGATAAAGTTTTAAGAAAGGAACAAGGAGTAAATACATCTAAAAACAATTACTGGGCTTTTTTCTCAAATGATTTCTCTGATGAAGAATTACAGTTGGGCTCTGATAGACAACCCTATTTTGGTAGCTGGCCTGAGGGACCTAATAAGTTTATATGTGAACAGAGACCAAAGAGAGATAGATGGCAAAAACTGGCTCATCCTGACAACAGGAGACAATTGATTAAATTGATCTCTCCTTCTGAAGGAGCATCAGGACCAGGAAACAGTCCTGAAACATTGATAGAAGAGAAGCTATCGATAAAAAATGATTTGTCACCTCCAACTGAGAATATAGATTCAATCATAGAAACAGAGACAAATATCTTTGGAAGCCACTTCCTTAAGCTGGATAGTGTAAAGAATGCCTTACACTCAACAAAGAATAAAAAAAGGAGGCAGAAAAGGATTTTCAGTTTGGCACCAAACTTTAACTTACTGGGACAGAGTCATATCAATGTAAAAGAAATGGGAGAATGTGAATTGTTAACAGAAAGCCATGGAATAAAAATTATTTTGGAAGAAAAAAAAGATGTAATTTTAGAAATAAATAATGAAGAAGAGAATAAGCAAAACATTATGACCTTCAATCATCATCCATCATGGTTTTACTTTGACATTGTCAAAGATTCTCTTCTTAATGTTGGTGGACAATTTTATTCTCATTACCTGCTGTTTAATAGACTAAGGCACTCTGTGTATTTTTACAAAAGCCCCATTCCTTCTCTTATGCTACAATATACATCTAGCTTTTGGAAGATATCTTTTACAAGCAAGAAACCGTTTTTGACTTCCAACTCTCAGAGGAGAGTAGATGATAAACTAAATGATGTAAGGTTCACTTCTTCAGAAATTTTAAGTAGCCCACCTGATACTTTGTACTCTTTTAGGGTCACTTCTGATCTTCACTTTTTAAATGAAAGTTTTGGTGAAAAGCTAGAGACATGGGAAGAACCTAAACCATTACAGTTCTCAGAAACAGAGGACAACCAAGATGTAACAAGCACTGACTACTTTGATTCCCTTGAGCTACCATTATCACAAGAGTTTGCCTTTCAACTAGTAAAGCTTTTTGGATCTCCTGGAGTTCCAGTGGGTAAATTGAGTTTATTTGCTACAAATAAAAAGTCCAATTTAACATATGTGAGTAATATTTGCAGTGTTTCTACCTCATGTTAGTGATTTCATGCAGTTAATTGATGTTGTGATACTTTTCCGCTGTGGAAGTGGAGGACACGTAGCAAATGGTGCTCGGTGGAGTCATGCCCCACCCCCCCGCCTCCACAGCCAGTCGTCTGAAATGTCTTTGAGCATGTTGAATACTTGGACTCTCAGTTTCAACAGACAGTGGGAAGAATGAAGAATGAGACAGGCAAACAGTGATTATGTGACAAATAGAGATGTACTGCTTTCTTTAAGAAAAATCTTTCTGCTTTCTACATTTCCCTTGTTTGGCGCATGGCCCTTTCCTTTCTCATTCACATTATAGCTCATAGATATGAGAATAGTAAAAGGGGGACAATGAAGATTAAGTGATGAAAAAAATATCTGAAATCAGTTGAATTTAATTTTTAAGAACTGAGAAGGGTACTGAAAAGAAGGTTAGGAAGGAGTCTGACTGGTTGACTTGAAAAGTTCCTTTGGGCTCTTAAGATTGTTGTTTTTGGAAGTGAAAAATCTACCTGTGAATTAAAAATGAAAATATGATTTTTTAATATTGTAAGTAAAATTCTAAGTAAATTTCTGCTAAATAGTATGCCTGTGCAAGATGCTAAACATCTTAAAGAGGAAATGAGGCACATATCCCAACTTTTCCTTATCTGTAAGCCAATTGCACGTGTTAATGACTTCATGCAATTGCATGTGTCCCCTTCCTTGGGGACAGAAGCTGTTAGAGCCAAGAAGTAAAGCTCCAGTCCCTGCATCCTGTATCTTCCTGATATTCTTTTTCTTCTGTACTTACCAGGGAGCCTGGGGTTCTCTAACAGCTTGATTTCCAGTGTTTTTTACTTTGCTCCTAAACTTCTGCTGTTCTGGACAAGCTTGGTCCACTCAGCTCAGACCCAAGATTAGCTAAGTCTCAGAGTCAGAGGAGTCACAACTATCAACCTGTTCTGGCATCATGTTTATCATTTTTGCAAACTTTGTGAATAATCACATCGTAACTGTTTGCTGCAATTTTCTGTCCTCCTAGATGCACCAAAGAAACATACCAATTTTAAAAATTAAACTGTATTTGCTTTGGAGAATTTAAAAAGATAATGGAAGTCATTTTAAGTCGGGAATATTAGTCCAAAGTCCATATTCTGAAGTCATATACAAAATTCTTTGTGGCGTTTTGTGCCATTTTTCTGGGAGAAAGTCCATAGATATTAACAGCTTCTCAGGGACGTCCATGACCCCAAAATATTAACAATCACTGCCTTAGATTGGCACCAGAAAGCATGAAGGCACTAGTGGGAAAAGATTCTAAACCTCCTCCTTTGAATGCACAATACTATCATAATCAACAATAATGATCCAGCATCCATTAATTAAGCTTTGGAAAGCTTTTTAGAGGAAATAGACCTCATTCATCAAGTAGCTTACCTTCTAAATGGGGAGACAAGACTAACACAAAACAAAATTATTGCACATAGAAAATATAAATGAGAAGCTTATGAATATTTTATGAGTGAGGTTAGCTGTGCTAAAGGGATTGTTGAAGAGAATATGGGGTTATGGTTTTGTCTGGGATGGCTCCAAATGGAAGTGAATTATAAGCAGTGCTTATACAAATATGACTTAAAAGAAAAACAGGGAAAGAATTTTACGTTTGGAAATGGTGTATGCTTAAAAAAGGAAAGGAGAAAACTGGAAGTGGAGGCTGTAAACTAATTCGTTTACCTAGGTTGGACATGCAAAGCTCTGGTGTATCTATGACCTTGTAAATAAAACAGGGAACTCAAATGAATTCTATTATTAGGAGCTCTGCAGACACAGTGGGATTATATAGTAGAGTCATACATAGGCCTGAAGAAACCAAACTACCCATGTTGCTGGGGATATGCGAGTATAGGAAAAATATTTTCTGTGGTTTGGTATGGCTGATAGGTATAAATCAATGTTTGGACTTGCTTATGAGCATCATAATTGTAAGGATTTTTTCTCCCAGACACTCTTACGTGGAAGGAGCAATTTGCAAGAAAACTAAACTTGCTGTACTTGCAGTGTTTTATACATGTCACAGGAAAGGATGTCTACCTAAATTTTATGCCCTGTGACAGTACCACTTGAAGCTACTGATGTGTATATATTTGTACTTACATGAGAATATGAACTATGATACATATCACTTTACATATATACATAAGCATTTTTATTGAGTCTGGATAGTGTTTACTAACAGAGATCTGAGACAGGCTAACTCCTGCTTTAGCTATCACTGAAATATCTTCAAAACCAGGCTTTTATCATTATGGTGGTCTAGATATCATGTTTGCATGTCTTCATATTTAGGGTAAAAATATGTGTGACATTAGAGATGAAATTTGTTCTTTTTTTTTTTTTTCACAGAATCTTTGTTGCCCGACGACTGTGTGGTTCCTCTTGACTGGAAGACACTGAAGATGATCTGTTTGCAGTGGAAGACGTCAGTAGAGGTATATTTTTATGGCTTTCAAAGCAGACCTTCTCTAACTGGTTTCTTTTTTTAATTGATTTTTAAATTTTTAATACAATTTTAAAGGTTACTTTCCATTTACAGTTATTATAAAATATTGGTTATATTCCCTGTGTTGTACAATACATTCTTAAGCCTAGCTTATACCCAATAGTTTGTACCTCCCACTTACCCACCCCTATATTGCCCCCGCCTCCCATAATCACTAGTTTGTTCCCTATATCTGAGTCTGCTTCTTTTTTGTTTTATTCACTAGTTTGTTATATTTTTAGATTTCACATATGCAATATCATATAATGTTTGTCTTTCTCTGTCTGACTTATTTCATTTAGCATAATGCCCTCTAACTAGTTTCTTAAAAAAAAAACAAAAGAAAAAAGAAAACCTGTTCCATCAAATGTAACATGAAGAGCTACATCCATTGTATTAAATTAGAGAAAGAATGTATGTGGATGGGTGGATAATCTATGCATGTTTCTTTCAGTTAGTCCCAAACAGAAAGTTGCATTTAATTCCCTAACTTTGTTGTAGTGTAGGCTGGTATAAGGGCCAACTGTGGGTGACTGAGGTCCCCGTTTTAGGAGAGTCATTTATTCTTCTTTACATCTTTTTCTCCTGTCCAGCCCTCAATCTTATCTTGTTATAATAAAGTAACAGCTACAAATTAGATTCATATTTACGTGACTTGGAAGCACCTCATTATTGGTATGTTCTGGTGGTCCATGATGGTTCTGACAGGCTGTTAATTTTCGAGGTAGCTGGAGGAGGACTGGTTGGGAAGGTTAGAAAGGTAACAGAAACTCTGGAAAATCCAGTACTCTGTGTAATGTAATGAGGAGAGGGTGGCTGGTATTCTGTTTACATTAGTTGATAGTGACTTAAATGTGCCCAAAGGCAATGCCAGAGGTACATTTTGAAATAAATAGTAAAATCAAGGTTTGGTGAAACATAGAATTATATAGTTCAGGATAGTAGGTATTTCTTAACTGTTCATATAAACACAGCTGTGGGAAAAGTAGATTTGTTTGTGTGCTCAGGTAGTAAAACCAAATACATTTTTCTACATATTTCTCCTCATTCCCATGGAGACCTTTTTCCTACCTAAACATACACACACACACACACACACACACACACACATACACATACATGCACACGCACACGCATACACACACGCACACAGCAATAATTTAAATGTTTAAACTGACATTTATGTTTATTATGTTTTTTTCTCATTTGGAGAGTGTCCCTATGTGAGTTAAATGATGGTGCAAACCTAATCCCAATGGCAAATATTAATCATTATTATATGTATTTTGATTATGATTTCTAGAAAAGACAGAAGAAGATTGGTTAAAAAAATGAGGATTCTTTGAACTGTAAGTACAACTTATTCCAGAGACCTCTATATGATCAGGAGGAAATGGATGTTGACATTATTTGGTTGTAATAGTTCATATGTACTACAATTGAAGAGTAAATATAAAAAATGTAGTCTGTTACCATAGCAACTCTGTGTGCTATTGCACATGTGATGTTTTTATTTCCTTTAAATGTAGATCTTTTTATGAAATACAACAAAGCTTAGATTGTTGCTGCCAAATTTATTTTCCAACTTTATTAGTTAGAATATATTATAGAGCATTCTGTCAACACACAGTTTATGAGGGATTTCCACCCCCTCACCCCTCACCTCCACCCAGATTGATAATGTGATGATGTCTGGGAATTAGGGATATAGGTTATATTTAAATATTAAAAGATTCTCTAGGAAAAGAGGTAAAACATGTAGACAAACTCATGTTTTAAACTTGACATCAAGTGACATTAAAATAAACACATGGCACTATTTTTTCAAATGCCTAAATTATGAAATAAACACAGCTGCTACGATTTCAGTATGTATCTGTCTGCATTTGATAAGAATTGAATGTACTCTGCATTTACCATATGTTTTCTCTTTTCATTGTTTCCATTTCTCAGCTAACTAGAAATACACATATACCCAGTAAAAATGTTTTTGTTTGTTTTAAACATGGTTCTGTTGAAAGAAGAAGGGGAAGGACTAAAGATCTGGGAGAAGAGTTTAGAGATTTGGAAAATGTGGGATAAATATAGGAGGGGAAGAGATAAGGGGCTATGAGGAATTCCAGAGAAAGGAGGTGAAGAAATTCATTCATTTGTTCAACAAATGTTTATCGAGTTGCCTCAGTTCAGACATTGTTCTACACACTGAGGATATAACAGTGAAAACATTCCCAGCCTCATGGAGTTTATGTGAGGCTTCCCCTCAGTGTGACACCAGTATAAGCAGCATGCAACAAGCATGGGTATACTTGGCAGTAGCTAATTTCAGAGTGTTTTCTATCTGCTAATTTTGTGTCAAGGACACTTTATGGACCATACTTTTTTGATTTTTATGTTCATCTTCTACATTCATGCTAAACGAAATGCCCTCTGTGAACCTCACAGAGCAGTCATCCCTAATTATTTGTCCTCTCTTTTTGGGGAATTTTATGAGTGCTGTAGCCATGTACAGGTTTTTTATAATTGTAATGAGAATGGGCCTCTTAGTTTTGTGTTTGGCATAATTAATGATCCGTGGGCGTCAAGGGGTAAACAGAAATTTAGAAAGAAGGAAATAGCAGGAGAATGTGGTTGGCTCTGGGAGCCTAAAATCCCTGCCTATTTCAAAATCCTCTTCTTGCTGGTGGCCAGGGTGTTTATATTGCCTCACTTCTTTAAGGACGTAGGGCAGAGTGCTGGAAAGAGGATGGGTTCGCATCTTGAAGCTACTGCTGACTGGCTATGTGACCTTAAACAGATTACCCTCTCAGATCCTCAATTTCTTCACCTGTAAAAAAATTACATTCATAATACCAACCTGTCATGGGGATAATAAATGAGGATTAAATGAAATAACTTGTGCAAAGTTCTTAGCATAGTGCCTGAAAAATACTAGGCTCTTAGTTAGGGTTAATTCTCTTCCCCTGAGTACCTTAGTTGGTTACAGCTTTGTCTTTGACATGCCCCTGGCAGAATAGAAATTGTGTTATCTAGGACAGGGGTCCCCAACCCCTGGGCCTTGGACTGGTTCAGGTCCGAGGCCTGTTAGAAACTGGGCTGCACAGCAGGAGGTGAGTGGCGGACGAGGGAGTGAAGCTTCTTCTGCACTCCCCATCACTCACATTACCACCTGAACCATCATATATCTCCCCCACCCCGCCACCATCCGTGTAAAAATTGTCTTCCACGAAACTGGTCCCTGGTGCCAAAAAGGTTGGGGACCACTAATCTAGGAGAGCAACATATTGACTCAATAAACTTGTTAACACATTTGCATGAATTAAATGTATTTATTATTAACTTTATAATGTAAATAGCTGGGTCATCAGGAAATGGGACATAGACCAGGTTTTGATTTAGAGACAGAAAGTTGGGCATAATCAGGAGGACAGGCTCTTGAATGAGGCAGGACCAGGCAGGGTGCGGGGCTGTGGGGACAGTGTGAAGTTCTAGATATGAGGGGGTGGCATAAATAGGTCAGGAGTTTGGGAAACTGACAGCAAACTCCATTCATGTCACCATTTTGTCTGGACTTGTCTGGGCTTGTGTTTGTTTGTAGTTGAAGTCTCCGTCTTCCTGGTACTGTTGAAGATCCTCATCATCAAGAAAGAGTGCCAAGTGCCAAACTGAAGGATAATTTAGAGTAATACACTCAGTGGATACCGAAATTGGTTTGAATAATCTGTTCAACTATTCTTAATCAGTTTCCTGATTACTAATAAAAAACTCAACGAAAGAGGTAACAACTTGAACATTTTATTATCTAATTTTGAAGATACTCACCCTACTTTATTTCATGAAGAAAATAAGGCACAGAAAACTTGAGTAGCTTATTTTTAAAATTGCATCAGAATAGAAGGATAGGCCCTATATCCAAGTATGGGTCCATGATTCCATTTCTAGAATTCTGAAATCCAAAAACCTCTGAAAACCAAAAGTTGTTTTTATTTTGTTTTGTTTCTTAAATGTTTGGCATGAAAACTAAGTTGGCAGCAAGACTTGACCCAAACAGACAGGTTAACTTCTTATTTATCCCACTTAGCGTGACTCTTCAGACATTTTACTGCAGAAATATTAATGTGTTAAATTGCCAGGGGTGCCCTAGACCCCACTTAGAACTTCCTAAATTCTGAAACATATCTGACCTCAAGGATTTTGGTTAGAGACTGTGGGACTTGCACTATACTACAATAATAATTATTTTTATTATTACTATTATTTTAGTTTAATCGTACTTAACAAACTTCAAATACAAAAATTCGTATTTGAAAAATATAAATTAAGGGGTGATTTCTCATTATTCAACATGTAGGCATTTATGTAATCTGTTTTCAGAAAGGGAGTGTTGCCTGCCGTATCTTGCCTCTTACTCCTCCTCATCCTGTTTTATCTTCTCCAGAGAATAAACCTCCAGGCTTCTGCAGGGGGTGGGCAGCTGCCTGACTGTGTGGACATTTGTTTCTTAAACAGACTTTCAACTGACCTTCCTGTTTAGAGTCCCACGTCCAGCCCTAAATCTTCCAATTCCTGAAATTTTAGGGGTTATGCAGAGTAAATAGTATTGTTTCTTGGCTTTCTGTAATTCAAGTTTTATTTTTAATTTTTTTTCCAAATTAATTAACACTGAGCATTTAGCTTTCCAGTTTTTGAAATTTTGTTGCTGTGATCTTCTCTCTTTTCTTACAGTTTATACTTGAAAATAATAATGATTACCCACCCTGCCAAAAAACCTTTACATTTTCGTGGGGTTTCAGTGAGGGAGTGGAAGTTAAGTATTTGAGTTCTGCCTGCTTAATCAGGAACTGAGCACTTTTTTAAAAATAGCTCAATGTTTTTCCTATGTTCATTTTGTACAGTTTCAGTTTATCTTTCTACTAGACTGTCAGTCTCTTACAGACAGAGACCAAGGTCTTCAGTGTTTGGTTGAACTCCCTAAGGTCTTGCTCTCTGTGCAGGCTCCTAGAGCCGTTGTGAAACTGGACTTACCTTTGGCCTGGGATGGGATGATTTCAGGGAAGAGCTGATCAGGATTAGGGTTGAAGCAGAGGAGACTCTGGCATCTGGCAAATGTTTGCTTTCTTAGGAGACTTCGACAGCAACAATTATGGATTTCTAATGAATACATTAGAGTCCACACCACCATGGCTGTAAGTAAGGGTAATATCATAAATATTTAACAATGAGTATGGCAGGGGTGGTGACCAGTTCTGAGACTCCTTTGTACTGTATTGATGCATACCAGCTAACTACCCACCTAGGCTTCTACTTAGGTTCCAGGAAGCCCCCAGCTTTCTTCAGCTCCTGCCTTTATTACCTTGCCCTAATTTCCAGAATGGAGCTTTAGAAAAATGGGTTGGGGCTACTTTCCCCACCTCCCAGGCTTCCTCCTCAAAACTTATACTCCTCAAGTGTCCCTGTGCACAGTGGCAAATACTAGGTGCTGTGGAAATAGAATTATGGTCATCGCCTTTGGGGAGGAGTGTGATGCCAAATAGAGAGAGGGAAGGAATATAGGAGGCAGAGGCAGTGTGAGGTTAGAATGAGCAAAATCAGTCTTATCCAGAGGACATTTCTGCATTAGCAGACTTACCCTAGACTACCAGAGTCCTGAGCATTTCCCCTGTCAATTCAGGCAAGCAGACATACTCTGCATGACTGCTCTCCCCTTGTCCCCCTTCCCCTAACCTCTTCCAGCTTCCTGCATCCTCCATTGAACTTCTAGGGGAAGGATAAGGGAAGAGCCAGGAGGGAGCAGTTTTAAGTATAGAGGCACTACCTCTGAATGGCCAAATAGTGCAGACTGTGGTGGAAGGTGAGAGCTGGAGGTGCTGTAGCAATGAGGGGTCCACCATAGAAACAGCTAAGCAGGCACAGAGGGATGTTTTCCTGTCCTTTCAATTCATGTCACTTATGTAACAAGGTGAATAAGTATGTATATAAGGCATTTTTTTGAGTAAAAAATCAGATAAAAGCTTTTGGTAGGCGAGGAAAGGACATAGGATTAGAGAAAATTGGGGAGCTACTACCTATATATTTTAAATGGTTCTACTATGTTACAGGGTCTTTGGTTAGGCTGCTTTGGAAACTTCATTCTTGGTTTCAGACTTCTGCCATCTTGTCATCTGCAGGAGAGGAACCCAGGGCTGACTTACAATTAAGCATTCCAAATCGTGGGGTATTTGGAACTGTAGGTTTGAGGGTTAAATTCCTGGTTTCCAGTGGCTCTTCCTGTGCACCCTCTTATTTTTCCACATCTTGTGAAACAGTAATAATTAGAGAAACATTTGAATGTTTCTTCATTTGCCAGAAATTACTCCTAAGATTATTTCTTTATGTCTATCATGGTAATGGTTTATAGTGCAGCAACGTGAGATTGTGCTGGTCATCACCTTCTAGAGAAATGGAACAGAACCTTAGAGCTGAAAAGCTGGTTAGGTGAACTGAGGGCATGAAGGAGTGTTGTCACAGGGATCCTCTGACTCGGGGGTAGCCTTCCTCTCTGGAGGCTGCCACCTAGATAGGGCCAGTAAGGATCTGAACGTAGATACTATCTGGGAGCAGGGTGGTTCTCAGATCTGCCAATAAGGTCACTGACTGTTTACATTAGTCCTTAGCTGACGTTATCACTATCTTTTTTCAGTGTTAATCTTTAGTAAATCCCAAGCTCAGACACATCTACTGAGAAAGCAGTTTGGGTCCATATACAACTATTGAGCATCTCTGAATGTCAGATGCTGTGTTAGCTCTTGGGGTGACAAGGGCAACACTGTTCTTGCCTTTGAACTTACAGTCTAGTGGGAGGAAACAGACACACAAACAGATAGCTTTAAACAGTGTGGTTCTGAGGAATAAATTGGGGAAAACAGAGCTTGTTGACTAGTTATATCTGGGAGCTAAGAGAAAGGAGAAGTGTCTGGGGTCACCTTCAGATACTGCCAACCATTTTCTCCTTCTTGAACTCTCCCTCCTTGGGGCTCCACACACTGTCTTACAATTCTGTCTCTCGTACTCTCCTTCAATAGATCCACTTCAAAGACTGTCCTTAAATGCTGTCCCCGAGCCCCCTCTTCAGCCGTCTGCTCTTTTCTCTATCTTCTTCTCACAGGGGAAGGATTTCCAAAGCTCTGTCTCCATCTCAGACCTCTCTTCTAATAGCACATTCACATTTTCCAGCATCTACTTCATCGCTTCAGCTGCCACAGGCACTGCAGACTCAGTGTGCCAAAACTTCTAGCCCCCAAAGCTGTGTGTCTTCCTGCTGCCCTCTCCCACGCTGCCTGGGACACCCTCTATAGAAGGAAGTAGAAATGGACAGAAGTCTCATGCAGCACTGTCCAACAGAAATATGTCAGCCACATATGTAATTTAGACTTATCTACTAGCCAAGTTAAAAAAAAAAGAAACATGAAATTAGTTTTAATAATATATTAACCCAATACACAGCATGTTATCACTTCAACACATAATCAATATAAAAATTACTGAGATATTTTACATTCTTTTTTTTCATACTGAAGCTTTGAAATTCAGTGTACTTTAATCTCAGTTTGGACCAGCTGTTGTTTGGGCCAGTATTTCAAGTGCTCAATAGCCACATGTGGTTATTGGCTCCTATGTTAGAGAGTGCAAGTCTAGAATGAAAAAGGTAGTTTTGCGGCTGGGTAAAAACGGTCTTGTAAGAAGTATTGTAGATACATGGAAGTATGATAGGATACATACATTATAAGCATCACTATTTTTATGATTCATGTATATTCTCCATTCCTTATGGTTTCCCCCTAATATTTAGAGAAGCTTTTGAAATTTCAGTGTTTCTCAGAAGAGCTAAGAATCCTTCCTCCAATGCTGGGAAGGGATTTTTCAAGAGAGTAGCTCATCTCCCTCCGCTCCCCCCTCCACAGAACCCCAAGAGGAAGGCGAAATTGTCATCACAGAGCAGCCCCCCCCCCCCCCCCCCGCACTTGGATAGTTCCTTCCACCGAAGCTTATTGTGCAATCTCTGGGTTTTGTTTTAGAAGGAAATTGCTTTTCTTCACAATTCCTTTTCAAAATTTTCATACCTTAGCTGCCAGAAACAAAATGTATTTACTTTACAATGGTTATTACAGCCAAAGCCACCGTATATCCCGGATTGTTCAAGGATGGTGTTAATTTTTAATATTGTCTCTTTCAGTCCATGCATCTTGAATTTTAGTTCAGAAAATAGGATCTCTCTTTCACACTCCTGAGTGTGAAACAGTGGAGAGTACTGTGGTGATCAACCAACTGGCGCTCACCAGTTCCTGGAACTTAGAACTTAATTCTGGATGCTTTTCTGTTGTTTCAGTAGACTGCTCCTTTCCCTGCTCCTGCTCCTAGGGAGGCCATCCCTTTCCTGTGGCAACAGGGCATGAACCTGGGCAGTAGCCCGTCCTTCTCAGGAGGCCTAGTTTATACTACTGTTCATAAATCAATCTGAGTTTTAAGAGGTGCTTTTTTTTTGAAGAAGAAAAAGAGATTTCTAAAGTTATGTAGAGGCAACAAAGCTTTCTAAGAATATTTTTGGCAGGCTGATACAGAAGTATTTAAAAAAAGGAAAAGATACAGGCCCTGGGAGAGTGGTGTTAGCCGTTGGGACACCAGCCAGATATTGGTGCTCACAAATTGGGGGAGACAATGGTCTTTACTGTTACTGTTCAAAATGCTGTTCACGGTCTCTTATCGTCAACTAAAATTATTTCACTATCAAGGTCTAGGCCAGTGTCAGGTGGGGTGGGGGAGGGCTTTTGCCTAAGGCCTGCCTTCCACGCGGGCGGCCCGGGGAAGTGTCCAGTGTCCCACCCGGTGGGCCTCTCCCCCCAGGGCGAAGGGCACCCGGAAGCGTGGGGGGGGGGCGGGGAGGCAGTGGGGGAGCGGGGCGGGGGTCGCGTTGCCCAGGATTTCCCGGCTGTCAGTCTCCCAGCGTCCCCAGCTTTCCAGGTAGGGACGACCCCTCCAACGCAGCGCAGTTCGGGCGGGTGGGAAGGAGGGGCTGGGCTCCGAGCGCCCGCCCCTCCATCTATCACATGGCCGGAGAGCCACAAAAACAACAGCTTTGGCCAAGACCGTGACTTCAGGAAGGGGAAAGCAGTGTTCTCGCAGCCAGCCCCCACCCCATGGAGGAGAGTTTTCTTGAATCCTTTGGGAGGCTGAGCCTCCGGCAGCAGCAGCAGCCGCCTCGGCCGCCCGCCCCGCCGCCCCCGCGTGGGACACCTCCGCGCCGCCACAGCTTTCGGAAACACCTCTACCTCCTGCGAGGCCTCCCGGGCTCGGGGAAAACTACGCTGGCCAGGTAATGACGCGTCCGGGCGCCGCGCGCGGACCCGGCCGAGCCAGCCCCTTGCCTGGCCCCGGCCCGAGACTGCCGGGGGGAAGCCGGGCCGCCCGGTGCCAGCCGGGCCGCGGGCTCGAGACGCGGGTGGCCCGTCCCGTTGGTTTCCATGCTGCACCCTCGCAGGAGGACGGCTGTCAGCACTGCGCCTGGCGCGAGCCCCAGATGGCACCGGCCCCCGCACGGCCCCTGCGCCAGCCGGGCGGGTAGCCTTCGCCCCGAGCCTCGCAGCGCGGGGTCGGGGGCCCGCGGGCAGTCTTCTTCAGGAAAGCCCGATGGCGACTGCAGAGGAAACCACCGGGCCTCCCGCTGGCACGCAGGCACCCGCCACGGTGCGGCAACAGGCGTTTTAAACCTGAGTGGAGAAGCGGGGGCCCAGGGGCAGGGGCTGGGACCCGGGCGCGCGGCCGCGTAGAAAATCTGGCGGAGGGAGGCAGCCCTGCGTGTGCTTTGGCGGCTGCGAAGGCGCACAGGTGCCCGGGGGAGGGGGTTGCGCGGCCGCTGGAGGCCGTCATTGACACAGCTTCGCCACGGGAGCCCAAATTGGTTTACTCGCTAGGTGCGCCAGCGGCCCCCGTACCGGGTCAGCGTGAATTGCACGGCCTCGTTGCTGGGGCCACGTTGCTAGGCCCGCCGCTCCAGCCTCAGCTCCCTCCACTCTGTCCTACGCCTGATGTTCCTGCAGCGCTGAACTGTTTCTCTCCTTGCCTTTGCTGGCGCTGCCCCGCGTGCCTGGTTTGCCTGCCCGGCTTGCCTTCTACCGCCCTCTCCCCTACTGATTCCACCAGCCCTTTACGACTCAGGCTTATTAATCCTCGCCCTCCGGGCTCCCCCGCTTCCTGTTTACACCTCTGTGGCTGCGCTTGGTTTTGCACATGGTTTCGTTTATCCTTCTGTAAGTTTCTTGAAGGTAGGGGCCGTATCTTACCCTGCAAAGCACGGTGTCTGGCAGTAGTATGTGTTCAATAGAAGTGGTCCCTTGCCCTCAAAGAGCTTTCCATCTCACCAGAGAGGTAAGGCTAGCTGTAGAACCATGGGACTGGCCATAGAACTGTGGAACCAGTGAAGAAGAATCAAGGTCGTAGCACACATTGAGAAGCGGATTTGAATGGTACACAAAGACCGTGGGAGCAGGGTCTGGGTCCTTTAGGGTCAGGGAACTGTGACAGCCCTGGTGTTGTGCTGCCAGTTTTAGTTAGGATTCCTGGTTGATTTGTGGAGTAGAAGCCTTTAGCAAAACAATATTGCTACATTTTCACAGATTCAAGAGATGGGCGACTTCCAAAGGGCCATTGGTACCCTTTTCTAAGAAACACACACATTTCAATAGGCCTTCTCTCTGGCTGGGTAGAGAATGGGGGAGCCTGCCTAGAACCCAGCAGAACTTGGTTATTTTATGATACAGTCATGGTGGGTACATCTGTTACCAACAAGGTATCTTCTGAAATCAAATCCCGATCAGTTTTACTTCGGCTTTGCTGGTCTGTGGCCTATCACACACTGTCCGAGAAGGCAGTAAACATCTTTGGCCAGATTTTGTTTATAATTAAAGAAGGGAAGTAATATGGTGAGTGGAAGGTGCACAGAATTGAACAGCAGAAGCCGTGAGTTTGGGACCTCACTTTCCTCATCTCTAAAGCGAGTGGATTGGCCTGGGTAGCCTTTAAGGTCCCTTCTGGCTCTAACATTCTACACTTTTAGGATTTTAATTCCTGGTTGACATTTGGCTAAGCGGAAGACACTGGATGAGAGACCAGCTTATTAAAGAACATCTCTCTAGGGACGACTGGTGTGAGCACTTCCCTGGGAGTCTGAAGATTGTGCCTTTAGATTCTCTTCATCACAAAATAGTTGGTGACTTTGGGCAATCACCTGCCTTTAATTCTTTTTACTTTCCTTTACATGTGAATATTGAGAAGGAATTAGATGATTTACTGAAGATCTTTCTAGCTCTTAATTTCTAGTTGTCAGACTTAAAAAAAGTTTTGTTAATAATGGCTAGGTAGGGAGCTCTGACCTTTGAGTCAATTTATGGCTTCTTTTTTTTTCTTTCTTTGCCTGTGCCCCACGGCTTGTGGGATCTTAGTTCCCCAACCAGGGATTGAACCCGCACCCCCTGCACTGGAAGTGCGGAGTCTTAACCACTGGACTGCCAGGGAGGTCCAAGCTCTGCCACTGACTCGATATGATCTCAACTCCTCTGCACCTCAGTTTCCTTCCCTTTTAAATAGGGCTATCTGCTCCGTCTACTTCAGAAGACTCTTGTGAGGATTAAATGTGTATGAGAGAACTTGTTAAACTTTAAAGTGCTGTATAAATTTTAAGAGGCATTAGTTACTGCCGAAGATGTTGATCAGTAGAGATAATCTTCAAGGTATTCTTAGGGAGAAGTCTGGCTCTGAAGTGAAGGAGGCAGCTGGGAGTTGATATTGTGAGTTCTCTTGATAGGCTGGGCATTGGCAGTTCTGAGAGCACAGGACTTTGGCCCTGCTTTGGGGTGTGTTGTGCATTTACATGGAAATCCGGAAAGTAGGCAAGGATACAGTCCACAGCTCAGCGAGGAGAGAGGTCTGCAGGGAGGATGCAAGGTGTAGTGGGTGTGACAGGCCATGTCCCTCAAGGAGCTGCCTTCCCCACTTTTTTGTTGCGGGGTCAGGTTGGGGAGAGAAGGAGAATGGCAAATTATTAAAAAATACATGTGTAAGAAAACAGTAAAACTGTAAGCCTATCTTATGTATTTTTGGATTCTGGGAAATTCATATTTTCATTATTCTATGTATTTTCCAAATTTTCTATAATGGACATGTATTTCTTGGATCAGAAAAATAAAACTTTTTTTTCTTTAAAACTTGGAAATCGTTTTTACAAATGCGGGTTCAGCTTTTTTTTGCTTAACTTTTGTTTCTCATTTGATTAAAGAATTAAAAATGTTTTTGAAATTAGAATATGTCTGGTCTTCCAAATCAATGTTATATTTCTATGCTTTTCACCTATATGTTTTCAGTTTGCAGGGACTGGAATGTGGAAACCATCTATTTAAATTCTTTGGACGGGTTAAAAAAAAGAAGTTAGAGTTGTATCTGGTTTAAAATTTTTAAGTACATCAGAGTACTAAAAATTTAGCTTGTCCCTTATATGTGCTTTGTCACCTCTGTTTCATTTAAAAAGCATTTCAAAAATAGGTTCTTACCATTGACCTGTAAGTCCTGCTTCCAGGAGTTCATCCTAAGACAATAACTGGACAAGTGCATGAGGATAGAGGGATGTTCAGAGTTTTTGATGTGATAGAAAAAAATATGAAAAAGAAAAAAATGTGAGCCAACTTAAGTGTACAAAAATAGAGGATTGGCTTATAAGTCATGAGTCATTAGTGAGAACATAGATGTACATTTGACTACAAATAAATACACAAAAATCCCATTTTCTGTTCAAAGAAATGTGTAAAAAGATATTGTTCATAGTGTTAACGCAAGTTAGTGTGCCGGACGCACAGTGAGCCCAAACAAACTGAAATGTTGGAGTTTGGAACAGAGGAAGGTTTATTGGAAGCCCATGCAAAGAGAAGAGGTGGCTCATGCCCTAA